CTATCTATCTATCTATCTATCTATCTATCTATCTATCTATCTATCTATCTATCTAGATAAATGAGCCAAGATGAACCAGACTGGGCTGATCAGCATCTAGCAGGCAAAGCCATCTGTTTTTGTAAACTGGTAAAGGGGTGAACTGTGCATCTATAGTGGCTGCTTCTGGCACTGTATTTATATGGCAGATGACTTCTGTAGCCATAGCAGATATCTTCCAGCGGAATAGTGTCATCACCTGATTCTGGCTTCTGGGAGACTACTCATAGTAGATGTAAGCTCAAACTGGAAAAACTTTAGTTTGCTTAAAGCTGAACTCAGGGCACAAACAATGTTTATTCAAATGTATTAGTTGATTTAAATCTAGTGCGTGCGCTTCAAATGCCTTTGATAACCTAGATATTTTTTTTTAAAGGTAGTATAGCAGAGCTGTGGGAGGGACCTAGCAGGCACCAACCACTACAGGCTGCCTGCAGAAAACTACAGGAGGGGGCGGATATAAGACCTGTCACCCTGCACAAGGAGAGAGAGCAGGATTGACTTGTCTTTATTACAGGAAGCTCCTGCACAGTGGAAAATTTCCTGCACTGGATTACTGCACAGATCTGGAAGAAATACACAAAGCACACCAAGCTTGAAGTACAAATACACATGTCTCTTGCATTTAGAAAATATTTGCTTATCCCAGAGTTCACCTTTAAACACTCCATATCAATCAATTGACTTTTTTTTTCATTTCATACTATTTTCATCCTTTTTTTGCATTTCAGGGGTGCTAATCACCTTCACCCCATTCCTGTCTGCATCTAACATGGGCTATACATAATTGCTCTGAACCGGCTTCCTGATAGTGACAAAGGTGGACCATGACAGTGTGTGTCATCAAAGAGGCTTGTAGCTTCTGTCTGGGGTCCATGTGAAAAGGTGACAATGCAGAAGTACAATAGGGAGAAAGCTGTCATCCATAATATGAATCATTGCAACAATTGCAGTAAAACATAAACAAGCAAAAGCATTGATTACCTGAGTAACACAGACAAGCCCAAGTAAGAAGAACATAATGCAGGCTCCTAAAGTAATAACACCTCTCATCTTCTTCATCATCTCAGGAAATGCGTCGTGAATGGTGGTTGTAATTGTTTCTGTCATAGGAAACACACGCTTTAAGATATTTATCCTAAATTAAGTATTCAATTTCTTTAGAAATGGGCAATGATATACTATACAGTACTATACACAAGTAAAGCTAGACTACGAGACACACATTGGGGCTAATTGACTAAAGAAGAAGGTGACGCTGTGTTTACTTAGAATAACCATCAGGTAAAAGGGAAATAAAAACAACAGGATTTTTGTTTGTGAAATCCTTATTTACTAAACTATGTGAACATTCACTTTTCAAAGTGAACATGCTGCACACCTTAATCCACCCTATTAGAGCCATGTAGAGACCACTTTTGCTTTTTTTCTAAATCCATCTATACTGATGTAAAGTAGCATTTGAAAATCAGTCATGTGGGTGTGTTCAATTTACATTTAAAACACCACAGTAGAAAGATAAATGGATGTGGGAGGCCTCATTATTAGTTGCTCTGCACTTGTCAGCTAAGAGTATATATTTAAGAATTTACAATGCTCATATGGCACTTAGTAACATTGCAGTAAACATACACTATGTATAAAACAAAAAGCTGGTAGAGCACCTAGTTTGCTCATAATTATCACAGTCGTGGAGTGCTCCTGACTATACTTTTGTCATCCACTTGTACATTGTGAAAGATAAAAACAAAAAAAGCATAATAAATAACAAAATTTGCGTTTAGTTCTTGTGCAAGTTTTTTTTGTTCCCTAATGATCCAGAAAAAGCCAAATTACTGGATTTGACAAATTTGTACTTAAAGGAGAACTATGACATGAGTGATTTCCACTCACCTGATAGTTCTAAGCCGACCTGTGACAATGAGACTGTCACAGGTCGGCTCAGTAGATCGGGAGGTGAGGGAACACATACCGGGTTCCCTCACCTCTCGATCCTGTCATGGCTCTCTGCCGTGACAGGGGGAGGGGCTGGATTCCCCTCTCCCCGCTCCGATCTGCCAGCGCTGACTGGCGGAACGGACAGGGGAGGGGGCGGGTACAGCTGGCTCTGCCTCTAGATAGGCAGAGCCAGCTGTCACTCACGCAGCTGGGCGGATCCTGTCATCTAAGTCGGGATCCGCTCTAGGTGCGGCGTCTCAGTATACCGTGAGCTGTAGCTCGCGGTATACTGAGCTTAGGGTAACGGGAGGACGCTAGTTTGTGTCCTCCCGTTACCCCAAGGAGAACTATGGGGAAAAACACTGACCCCATAGTTCTCCTTTAAGCATTTAGAGCCAGATGTGCTAAAGTATATGTATAGTCATAACTTTTTTTCTCAAACAAACACAATCCTAACAGTGAATTTGGTTTTTATTCAAGAAAATTATCACTTCTCACCTGGGAAGACCTTTCACAAGATTTTGGAGTTCATCTATAGTAATCTGTACCCAATCAGTCAACAGAGCATTTGCAGGGTTGGGTACCGATGTTGCATGATAATACCTGGCTCACAGTCAAGGTTCTAATTAATTCCCAAAAACATTCAATAGGGTGGAGGTGAGGGTTGGGTTTACACGACTCCAGTTCTCCACACTAAACTTGTCAAATCATGTCTTTATGGATCTGGCTGTGGGCACTTGAACTCAATAATTTGGAGAGACGTCAACATACTTTTGGTCATATAGTGTAAGTGGCCGTGGAATGTCTCTTTCCCTTTTCCTACAGTGGAACTGCTGCCTGGAGAAGCCAGTTAGGTGTTTTGCCATAAGGACTGGGTTCACATCTAGGTGACAGCGCTTTTGCACGTTTCTATGCACACGTTTCTGTTGTGCATTTTTGTGCACTTGTTGCCTGGTTGTACGCACGTTTTATGCGCACAAATCAGATTGTGCATTTTTGTGACCAGATTGTAGCTCATTGACATGAATTAGCAAACGCGTGTAAAAGGTGTGCAAAAACACAGCAAACACACGTTTTAAAGCGTTTACTATTAGGTATAAGGGGCCAAAACTAGCTGTAATATGCCAAAAAAAAAAGCTCATGTACTTTTTCCAGCGACAGGCGTTTTGCTTATTGTGACAAAATGCTCAGATGTGAACAGGGCCATAGAAATTAATGGGGCAGAAAAAAACGCTACAGAATGCTCAGTGTGAATCAGGCCTCAATGTCCCCTTTCAACCCTAAACATCAATTTAGAGTCAAGTTCAAAATTTGTAAGCTTATGCTAAAGCTCACCACACACATTACAATCTGACTGTACAAACTACTTTAGAGCTACCAAGAACTATATGGAAAAAATGGCTTGCCTGACTGGATACATATTGATTGGATGGTTTAAACAGGGACCCGTATTACATTTTTTGGCAAATCTAAAGTTGTTTGTACAAACATTATACAGTTGGATTGTAACGTGTATGGTGAGTTTAAGAGAAGAACATTGGCATTCTCACTGGTCATCAGCATTCTTCCATTTCATAGCATAACCCATTGTAATTTCTATTTCCAGGATTCAGACCTTATAGTACCAACATTCATTATACTATCCAATAATTACATGCTTTCTTGTCTCACCTGCTGAATCTAAATGACTCCACGTTTAACAATGTACATGTCGGGTCATATTCTTACTTATCAAACCTGATTATTTCCCACAACATAAAACATACTGCTTGACTCACTAAGGAGGAACACTATATAAATCTGATTACTCAGCAAGGACTATTAACACCTGAGGGGTAGAGAAATGTGAAGTGTTCCAGCAGCTTTTCATAAGAGCTATACTTACCTTTGTTTCTTTGCTAGATGTTTTCTGCTACAAAATAATTTATTCTGAGACACTTTTTTTTTCCAAAAATAGATTAAAAAAATATTTTGAGTCATGTGTGATTTAATTATAAGCTTTAAAGCAAAAGTTAACATTATAAATAAATGCCAACCATCAAAGAGAACATAGAGAACTAACCTCTTCTGCTGCCTGTGCCCTGAAGTAAGGAAAAAAACCTTCAGCAGGAGATTGAACAGCATCCAAAACTTTCAGCAGTGACAATTTCTTGTTCACCAGCCACATGCTGTGTTTCCTCCTAGCAGCCCCACTGTCACTTCGGGGCACAGTAGTGATATAGTGGGATGGGGAAAGCTTGCTATCCAGTCCTACTATTCTAGTAGTGCCTCCCTGCCTTTTCATTATTGTAAACTAGACTATAAATGACACCAGTGAGTACCTGTATTCACGTCTTATACATTAATATCACTTATTCCTTCAACCTATTCAAATCAAAGGAATATTTCAGTTTGGGTAGTACCACTGCAAATCAGTTGTAGCACAGTGATGTGTATTGGCTAGAACTGGTATGACTTTGTTGAGCAGGAGGCACACCAGCTGCACTTACCTACAGAGGCAAACTGAGAATCAAGTCCTAAGGTGAGGAGCATAAAGAAGAACAGAATTGACCAGAGTGGGGCCACAGGCAACTGTGACAAAGCTTCTGGATATGCAATGAATGCCAATGCAAATCCTAGAGAAAAAGAACATAATAAATTGTAATACATTATATATAATAGGCATTTAAGTATCTACAGCGTATGGCGGCACATAGCTGGTTAACACATGCAAGGTATACAAGTCAAGTACTTATTGGGTATTAGCCTATATAAAGCACAGTTTGATCATCCACATTACCTTTACAATGACCATGTCAATTATTTTAGGGATTATTGGATTATTGCAAGCTAATCAAGGTAATCATTGTAAGGTAATCAGGATACTTTACTATATTGTGTCTCCTGATATACTCACCAAATCTAGAGATACTGCACAAAGACCTCATAATTATATGTCATTTTCATCAAGTTCAGATTTAATACACACTGCTTTATAATGTACATAGATGCATTACCTCCTACAGCGAACCATTCACATCCATCTCTGCCCCTGAGGTTCATTCAGAATAATGTCCCTACCACAATATACACTCATACACACATTTTATATGTTTAATCTGTTACTTAGGGCCAATTTTGTCAGAAGCTAGGTAACCCATGACAGTAATCTAAAACTGTTTACCTGTACATTTTATTTTAAAGGGTCTGTTTACACACAATATTCACACAACCTTCATCCAAGATTCACACACATATTTCTATTAGAAAAGAATAAAATTAGAAAAATGTGTGAATCTTGGTTAGAAGTTGTGTGAATCTTGTGTAGAAAGATAGACCCCTAAGTGTACAAACTGATGCATTATTTTTTTTTATTTTTTTTATGATTCTTTTTATATTTCTGAAAATATAAGCATAATACTTCATTGTAAAATATTACAAATTGAAGGATTTCTGTTAATTTTTTAAAATGTGTAATGAATACTTTTTACAACTGCTTCTAACCAATTGTTAGTGCTACATGTTACTATATATGCTCTCCACCTATTTCTTTGATAATTAGTAGTCGGTTGCAAATTATATATGTGAATGTACATGCAGCGGGATGTTTGATCATTTGATTTGCTCCGTCTCTTGGGCAGTATGATTTTAGTTAATCAGGTTTTTTGAGTCAAAAAGATGCTAATGCATCTTGTATTTTACTTTACACTTTAGCATTAAGTGCTTTTACAAACCATTAGATTTACATGCCTTAAAGTGACATTAAACCCTCCCATTTTCCCCCATTGTAATGCTGCTTTAAGGACTTACCTTACGTGATGCCTCTTGATCTGATCATCTTCTTCCTTCCACTTGTTTCCAGCAGTCCCTCAAGCGCTGGTGCCAGTTTCTGATCCAGCGCAGACAGCTGTTTCTTCCTGTCCCACAGAGTCTGTCCCAGGGACCTGCGGTCAGGGGAGGCAGGTGAAGTAGAGCCTCACCTAGAATTATGGAGGAAAAAGCTGTCAGCTTCATGCCTGAAGCTGACAGCTTTTTCTTCATTCGGGGACCTGTGTACTGCGGTAGGAGCGAGCGGCGGAGACAGAGGTAATCTGCTTGGTAACTTTTTTATTTCTTTTATGTATTTGCACATATCTACTGCTTGCTATCACTATGCCTTTAATTCTACTTTATGCCTCACTGCAAAAGTACATCATTAAACTTTTTCAAACATATGCCATTATAAGCAGCCATACTGAAATAAACACTTAGCATGCTTTATTTGAATTAGTTACCTGAATCCACAACATCTTTTACTGGTTTCTGTGCTCTAAAAGCCATGTGACCAAGTATAGAGAAGATGGCAAATCCCGCAAACACACTGGTGAGGCAGTTAGTTACACACACCATTATGGCATCTCCATAACTGTTGTTATGAAATTTGTTGTAAGACGAGAGAGCTACCAGTCCGCCCCATGCCACTGACAGAGAGAAGAAAATTTGGGTAGCGGCATCTTTCCAAACCTTTAACAAGAAACAAAATATAAAAATAATTGTGATGTCTACATGGTTGCAGTGTATTCTTACCGGGAAACCTAGCAAAACCATTGACGATGACAACCTAAAGAGGCTGCCTACTTTAACTGTAAAAGTGGAAAGCTTTTTACCTTTGAAATTATGTCTACTACAGCCTCTCTTTGGTTTCCATTTCTTCAAGATCTACATTTTTAGTCAGGAGATAATGGTACTTGTCAGTGTTCTATGGGTGAATATAAGCTGATAGTACTGGAAACTCTTAGAACCATATAGGTTGAACTCGATGAACATGTGTCTTTTAAACCTGACTAACTATGTAACTACGGTATGTAACATGTTCTTTATCAGGGCTGGAGGGCAATGATGAGCTAACTACACCCCTTTTATTGTGCCAGTCCTTATGACCTTGATTTGCTTTGAAGTACAGCTCTATAGACGTCATACCATGTATGCAAGTATGTTCTACATATATTAAAGTATATTGTAACATTATCAAAAACTTGGTCCTGTTTGATTAGTCTATTAAACAAAATCTTCAAATGACTGAATCCACATATCGATATTGTATTTTTCTAGTATTTTAGCATACTCTTAATGGAAATTATGTAGTGTACTGACTTCCAAGGTTATACATGTGACCAGGTTAATAAAAGGTGCCTCTGATGTATGATATCTCAATTTATTTGTACTGCACATTGGAGGGGACAGTCAAGAGTGCAAATGCGAGTCATAAGACCCAAAGCTGTCAAAAATGGAGTCTTCTTAAAAAAAAGTGGCTGTATACCACACATTTACTGAGAGCAGTGGCCTGCTTCTGCTGTGCTGCACAATAGCAATGTGCAACTATGGTGCTGACAGCAAGGCTCCTGCTAGGAGCTTCTGTCAGTAAAGCCAAGTAGTGTTGGGTGGTGGCAACCAGGTTGACAACAGGAATACAGGGATGCCTTGCATCCACATGGCCTCCTGTGCCTCAGATTAAAAGCTGAGGGATACAAAACTGACTATGTCTATAATGGATCTGCTCCCCTGCTTAGCATGGTTATAATGCTTCAGGAACACAAGGGGACTGGTAGGATCCCCAGCTATTTTCTGCTAAATACAAATGTTAATGAAAAAGAAGGAAGGCTCAATGCCGAGAAAAGAATGTGTAAATAAAATATCACTAATAAGGTTTAGATAAACTTTAACTACTCTGGAGTTGTAACATCAGTAATGAGGTAGAGGAAGAAATAAATTCTATTCATAGATCTGTCTATGCTGATTGCACATAATAAAACTAGCTATGATGTGAACAGTGACTTACAATAAAACAAAACATTCTTACAATACTTCTCTGATTAACATATAATCATTATTGACAGTATAGAAACTTACATCTGCATTAGCCAGTTTTGAAATGTCAGATTGCGTTCCAATATAAAAACTAATTCCATCATAGGCTCCTTCCAGCGTAACCCCTCGTATCAGCAGAATGAACAGTACAACATATGGAAATATAGCCGTAAAATACACCACCTATCAAAGCAAACATCACAAGATCAGCATGCTATACTTCATTTTATCAGATAACTTTTTAATCTGGTATTATAGATTGGACTGGTAGATTCACATATAAAGTAAAATCATGCAAGTTGACACCACGCCGGTACAAGGAAAAGTTACAAACTTATATTAAGTGAAAGTGTGCTCAGACTATAGTATTCACATATGTAAAAAAGAGTGAAATCTCTTTAAAACAAGCTTTCATTCACCAATGTAGCTAAATGCATTGAGGAGAAATTAATTTTAAAAGTTCACAACAGAGGCACTGAAATCATATCTTCTTTCCCCTTTTCTTTCTATGGAAAGCAGAATCTCGGCAGGCTGCCAGCCCTTTTAATGTAATAAACACACAGCCGGTGTTTCCAAGCTGTTAGAAACTGACTTTAGAGCTTGTGATGTCTGAGGATTAATTGCTTCATAGTACATGCAGCTACAGAGGTCAGGGATGGCTTGTTTTTAAGATTATATAAATATGTCTTTAGTCTGAGCACAGGTTCACTTTACAGTGTATATACAGCTAAACCTTTTTTTTTTCTTAGTTTTGGATAGAGTGTGAAAGGGCTAGGACCCTTTTGGGGGTTTTACTGCTATCCAGTTCTCTTCAAGAGATTTACTTGCACTTCCTGCCCTGCTGACAATGTTTTACCAGACAGAAAGTGTGGGGAATTCTCCAACAGCAACAGAGGCAGAAATGCATTGTTTGCCTTAGATTAGGGGAAACCTAGAACCCTGGTCAGCTTTTTTTTATTTCTGTATCTGTCCCTGTTGCATATTTTTCCTCACTTTCTGTGTGGTAAAACCGTTGTCAGCAGTAAAATAGAAGGTAAATCTCTCTAATGGAGACCTTGATAGGAGTTCCGATTCTTTTTCTACTTAGTCCAAAACCAAAAAAAAACAGTTTTTTTATTCACATTACTTTCAAAATATAATAACGTTGGCCTTCACATGTAGAGTGACAAATACATGACTCTAAGCACAGCTATGTATTGAAGTTTAAATGTAATTCTGCAACAGACCTTCCTACACGTTTTTCAATTCAAAAATGCACTGCCATTCAGATGGATTCATAACTAAAAGTAACCAGTACTTCTCAGGCATATATTAAAAACGTGACAGTAAAAAGTGCATATTGTTCACTAATGTTCCATACTGCAGACAGTCAGGCAGTAGCCAAGTTAAAACCAGACCAAATATAATATGATATTAGTATGTGAAATGTTAAGCTATTTAAGCCGCATCTGTTAATATTTGGTAGAAATGGATTCTTTATGAGGTAATATAATTTCAAGCTGGGTACATCTGTATGGTTTATAATGTAAAGATGGGGCATTGGCACTCCAAATAGTGAATAGTGCAACTTTTATTGACTAAAATGCAGCAAATCACATAAATGCAATGTTTCAGGGTCACCCTGAATTCCCCTTCTTCAGACAAGACATGTGTCTTGCCTGAAGAAGGGGATCCTGTGTGACACCAATATGCTGCATTTATGTGATATGCTGCATTTAATTCAATAAGAGACACGCTATTCACTATTTGGAGCGCCGGTGCCCCATCCTTACTTTGTGATTGTCACGGCACCATCCGTTGGTCACCAGAGCACCCGCCAGTTGTTTTTGGACTAAGTGGTCAGGAGTGCGATGGGTTCATGGACTACTTCTGTATGGTTTATGACGCAGTCTCTCTTAATGGTTTATGTTACAATGCATTTTAATGCATGGGTGCGTATATAATTTACAGGGCAATGATTTTATTGGTTTAGTGTAAAAAGCGTTTTATTGGCAGATACAGAGGTACTTTGTGTGAGGTCACATCTTGAGACTTGGGTTCATTTTCTTAACTTTATGGGATAATATTTGCAATTGCTTTATGTTGCTAAAGGGCATGCATTTTAGTGAGGTTGATTGTTTTGTAGCAGTGCAGGGGTAGCCAACTTAATGTTCAGCCTGTTAATGGTGTACCTTATAAGTTAATGGTGTATCATATAGTTTTATGTCAGGTATAATAATTACGTACAGGGGCTAATTGACTTTGAATATGACTTTCAAGAAGCAAAAGCTTAGCATGAATACAGGTCACAGAGTTTACCATTGGCATTAACATGTTGAACCCTCTTACAGTGTATGTAAAGTCAAACATTTTTTTAATTATAATTTCAATATAGTGTTAAATCCTTTATCAGGTGTTCATTGTTGTTTGTGTTCCTGGTGGGGAGATTCCCCCTCTCTGCTTGTCTTGGTGACCATTGTCCCTCGTGCAGAAAGTGATAGGAAATCCAAACTTTTAAAGTTATTACAGTAACAGAAGGTAAGCAGAGATTTTTCAATGGGGAAACTTGTTTTGATAACAAGAGGGAGACAAGGGGAGATTTCATTTTTGAAGGGTTTCCTCTTTCTTCTGGTTCTGTCTCTGGGACAGGAAGTGAAGGAAAATGCCCCTAACAGGGCAAAACTGACAGGAGTCTTGACCATTCCATAGTCTATCCAAACTATAAAATGTTTTGGATTTAAACACACTTTAAAGCCCATTTCCACCTTTGCAGAGGTATTTTTTTTAAAAAGCATATGCCAGCAATGTACATCAAGTGTACATGAAGCAGGCATATGCAGCTGCTGTGTATGAATACACAAAATTACTTTTTTTTGTTAGCTTTCCTCTTTGTATCCTAATAGATGGCTGCCTCTGTGTTTTGCAAGCTCTTAATCAGCTCTCCCATTTATTAGTATTCATAGTGGCACTCCCCCCCTTCTTCCCCCAGACAGTGTAGTGTGTGTAAAGGCAGAGCTGGTGTTTGCTAATTATGTTACAAGGAATGGCAGGGAGGGGGGGGGGCTGGGTTTACAGCCTAAATACAATCCTACCCTGGTGTCTGACTGATTTTCCTGTGGAGAATATTTAGAATTCTTAGGCTTCAGGCCTAATAAAATGTTCATTAAAAAATTGAAGAAAGTCTAAAATGTGAGTTGTGAAAATGTGCACATGCATACATCATCATTGCACCTCTACTTTACCACAATAAATGCCAACCACTTACAAAGGTGGAAATGGACTTTAAGGTAAAAATTAGGATTAAAGGATATCTGTCTCAAAGTAAAACATCTGTGTTAGAAGGTTTTAATGGATGCAACCATTTCCTCTCATACATACTGTGTACTAGTTTGGGGGTAGTGAAGCTAAATTTAATCACTGTGTCACTAGAAGTCAGTCAATGATTCATGGAAGAAGTACTTCCAGTTAGGTCTATGAGTAATAAACACTAGTTATCAAGCCAGCCACTTTATTGTCTTGGGGAAATAAGCCTTTAATCTTGTTAGTTTGGAAGACAACTTCTTATAAGTTGTCTGAGCATTCTTAATGCAATCGGTCGGTGTGGCTGTTATCTAGCACAGCTGAGGCACCCATCCAATCCTGGGGACTTCGATCCATCCACTGCCAAATAGTGCAAGTTCCACGGCATGAATACCACTGCCAGTGATGCTACAAAGATCTGCACTGGTGCTGATCTAACACAGTTTCAGAAAGTTGAGCAATGGCAGATTTAAGAGTTTTATTGGGGTCTTGGCTGCTTTAGATAACAGTTTTTCTAACATGTTACCTTTTAGATGTTCAGAACCACGTACAAGAAGTTGTCTCCCAGGCATATAAGGTTCAAGCAAACTAACTGTTAAATAATGTTTATAACACTTTTTGTTCCCTGAAGTCCTTGGGTTTTGAATTTTGTGCTATGCTGCCTAAGAACATGTGTTACTCTTGCTTGTTGCTGGAAAAGAACGGAAGATACCTTTACTATTCCACTAATACCGTTACTTAACTTTATGCAGGTGCAAGTCATATATATACAAGTCATCTATAAAAATGGAAAATTCCAATATTCCTGAGTGAGTTGCAAAATGTCATACAAGCTTATTGGAACAAGACTGCCAATAAAAACACTTCATAGTGATGTAGCATTAAGTTATACCTTTTCCGCAGGCTGTAGCTGCTCGCGTACAAATGTATTCTCATAGAATAAAACAATATTTGTGAAACATTTAAGGGAAAGGCCATAATCTCATCATTGGATCAGTACTTTACAGCTAAGCTTTATCTTTTCTCTCTTTGCGAGTAGCTTATGTACTGTCCTTTTCTTAAAAATACTACATGTATTTCACAGAATATTCTTTGTGCAAAGCATACCTTTCCAGAAGACTTTATACCCTTGAACAAGGCAGCACCAATGATTATCCATGCCAAGAGGAGACACAGGGCCAGATACCAGACAACATTTCCAGTTTCATCAAGTCCACTAGATCGGCGAAGTGCCACTTTACTATAAAAGATGACAAAGTCCACTATTAGTATTACAAGGCTACTAGTGCAGATCAGAACATGTGCTTTTTATGTATTATGAACTGGATGGGGATTCATGGGAACGTGTAAACATATTGAGTGGAATATATAGTAAATATTAAGTATTAACGTCTCTTATGCTCCAAACTTTACAGTTTAGCCTGGGTTTGAAAGTAATAACTCACATTCATCCAGGTAGGTTACGGAAGATAGCATATTCCACATAAGGAAGTATGAAATTAAACAACTTCATAGCTCATATATGTGCTAAAATGAGAAACCGGGAAAGTTTAGTGTTACAAGCCTTAGCATACAAAAAGGTCAAGGAAAATGAATATATTTAACCAGACTCCGTTGGATATTTCCAGTCTTGATACTGAAAATCTACTGTAAACCATAATTTAAAAAGCAAAAGTCAACAACAACCCTAAAAAAAACAATTATTGAGATACAATTGTTATCTAGAAACTTCTGCAACTATTCTTAGATGAGAAAGTCCTATATTTTGTCATTAATGAGAATTATAATCCTTTTCTAATTCAATTTTGCAGGCTTCTTATTGTGCTTATGGGAGAGATTTCAGCCGCTTGTTGCTGATCCAAAAAAATGCACAATACTGACCGGAAACAACATTATCTACATAACTTGTGTAAATAATCTAGATCATTTACACAAGTAATCTAGAGTTCTGTCATCAGTCTGACTTTACTTATTGCATACTTGTTCCAGGTCAGTAAATCAGAAAGTGCTTAAACCAGAGACCACCAGGGAACTAGCGTTTTTAGAAATGGTTCAGTGATAGTAGCTAACATACTTTTCTCAGTACAGGTTTCCTTTAAGTGTGCCTGTCATTATTTTGATACAGCTGCTTTAATCTCTTGCCTGATTGGTGAGATTATGTTCATTCATTGTAGTCACCACCTCTACAATTTAATGATAGGACAATAGTACGTATGGTAATTAATTTCTTTGCATTGAAAGAATAGGAAAGTGAATAGAGCAAGTTAAGTTCACCAGTAATCTCGATTATATTGCTCATTCTCTAAGGCATTAAAGTTGTTTACATGGCAGGTACATTGCCAGAGACTTGAATTAGGCATAATAGCACATGCTTGATCTCATGATGTCTCTATTAACAACAGCATCCAAAGATTGAGGGCCACATGTTGCTTGGCAGCAGCAAATTTACTACCATATGTTCGTTGTTAAAAAAGGGTTCATATATTGACATTTAACTCCTAAGACCACGCTTTAGTTGCTAACTAATACAAATGGCAGTACCGCATTATTATATGATGTTTTCCAGTCTCCTTCATCTATCAAACATGAACAATTAATAACAGCTTGAATATACTCACTCCCAATATTGTTTGCTAGGAAGTTCGGTATCAATAAACACAGTCGTGTTTGCCAAGCATGTGTAATTGTTTTCGTTGACCCAGGTAAGATTTACACTTTCAGTGAGTCCTGGCTGTAGAATAATGTTACAAAACCCTGTGGACACAAAAGATGTTATTAATCAGGAGCAGGTAATTAAAAAGTATCCCTAATACAAAGTCCTTAATAATCAATCTGTCTTTTTTGTTAGCACAGTGTCAGGCATATAATCACTGAGAATAAGCTATCTAGATAAGTTGTCACCATCATAAAGATAAAGCAGCCTTGTTTCTAAAATGATATAAAGAAACCTGTCAATAAGTTGCATATCATAGTCAAACCTGGAATGTTTTAATTACTTTACAGGTAACTTATTAAGTGGTGGTCTCCTGAAGTGACATGCTTTTATAACTGTATATATACAGTATAGATACTATTTAAGTATAATTCAAAGGTCAGCTATTGACAAAGACAATTGACAAGACTGGCCACGGACAATGACCCGGCTTCCTGAATGGCTGGGAATCCGGCTTCCCAAGCAAATCAGAATGCCGGGGAGCGGGTAGTGACCCGCCTCCTGGCTTCCTGATTGGCCAGGAAGCAAGCTCCATGCTGATTGGCTGGGATGTTGGCTTCCCGGCCAATCTGCTATGCCAAACAGCATGGAGCTGGCCAATCAGCATGGAGCCGGCAGTGACAGCTAGCTCCGCCCAACAGTTTTCTATTGGCCGGCGGTTCTGCAGCCGTCAAAAAAAATAAAAAAAATAAAAACATCGCACCCGCCCTCTGCTGCTGTCAATCACTACAGGGGACCTGATGGAGAACTGCAGGTCCCCTCTGCAGATTGACAGCAGCAGTGGGCGGGTGCAATTGCTAGTTTGCTATTGGTTATTGCAAATTGAAATAGCCAATAGGAATCTAGCAATGCATTCCTATGGTGCAATGTATTTATTTATTTATTTTTTTATTCTGACGACAGCCAACGGCTTGATGTCAGAATAAAAAAGAAAAAAAAAGAAAAAGCAGTGTTTGTCTCCTGGGTGGCCGGGAGCGGGAGACTCCCGGAGCGTCCGGGAGAGTTGGGCTGTCTGGAGATCAGTGTCCCTGGTTAGCTGATAACCAGGGATGCTGATCTCCCTGCAAGCGGCTGAGCCAGCCG